TAGGTTATAAAAATTCAAAAATTGGGTATTAAAAAACAAGAATTATTACAGCCAAACTAAAGACCAGCACATCTAAGGCTTTTTAGTCAACCTTGAGATAGACAAGGAAAAAAAAAAAGGGCAGCAGGTAGGAAGACATTAGGTATATGTATGTGTGACTGTAATAAAAATAAACAAAGGTACCTAGCCAGAAGGAATCAGAAATTTCAATAACAATTGCTAAGTCTTTCCCAAGTATCAAGCCATTAACTGTAAAACAGAGGGAACAATAATAGAGAGTCAAGTTGTATTGGAGTGCAAGAGGCCATTCTACCACAATGTCTAGATTCTGATGAGGACCAACACCCTAACTTTCCTTTTTCATATCCTCTGAGATAAAAACCATGATCATGACCTCCTAGACCCCAAAACAACAAACAGGGAGCAACAATATTGTTAAGTGATTTAGTCATAACCATTTACACTGTCATTACATACCACAGCTACATCGTGGTATGTTCCAATTCCAAGTTCTTTTAGTGTGTTGTTCATAAACTCTGGTGGACTGGTTTGTGTCAACTGTCAACAAAAAGTCAATACTATTATCTTCCTATTCACCAATCTTTTTACTATACACTGATCACTAAATAGAAAAATTTTTCATTGTAAAACACAGCAAACTATTTAGTACTTATTTCAGTTTTCCAACCGCCCCCCTTTCTAAAACTTGCAAATAAACCTCACTGCATCTAGTCAAAATTAAAAGTCTTCAAAACAAGATCCAAAAAAAAAAAAATTGGGCATGTGTAAATAGATCAATTTTGGCAGGCTGAGCACCCATTACCCAACAAAATCTAAAAGAAAAACACTACTGACAGTGATGTAAAATTTCCGAAAAAAATTTAAACTTTCACAGAGATAGTAAAAGGTAAAAAAGGTTGAGGAAAGGAAAACTTAAGACTTCTCAAAACTAAAAGCTTGTTTTGAGCTATATCAAAACGTTTCAATACCCGTATAAACACCATAGCTTGCAAGGTTGTTTTTAAGTCTACAGTGAGGGTACTTGAAAGCAGACTATCTAGCCATTACAACTTAGAATAAAACTGCAAATGTGCAGACAGTTTACTCCTGTATGCTTCTCTCTACATCTTGACCTTTCATACTTACCGATGAAAACATGAATCGCAGGATTCTCTTGTGGGTCAGGATATAGAGAGCGTTTCCAGTTACAGGGTCAATTACAGGGAGCCGATGGATTTTAAACTCCACCAATGTCTTAACAGCATCAAGGAGACTGTAAGATAAAGTGAAGTCATAACTTATACAGGCTGGTGTACATGTCTACCACAAACTTCAAGACAGTATCAGTCTTTTTTGCTGTCCCTACCTCTGCATTGGGGATATTTGAATCAGCTCAGGCCTCAAGTTGGATTCATCATAGTCTTCACAGAAGAAAAAAAAAAAGCATCAGAAACTTGAAGTTATGAAAAATAATGTGGCAACCATAATACTGTAAGTTGTATAATATTAATGGTAATTGAGGGAGGTAAGTTTCTGAAGAAAAAAAATTGTGCTGCTATGTCAATGGGCGAGGGGGGAGGGGGTGTTAATGATTAATGTATCACCTTGCTTATTCACTGGGTAAGACGTTCTCGTCATGGAAACAAATATTTAGTGCTTATTCCCTTCCAAGATCTCATTTGTTTGGTACTTCTCCTTACTGTCTTCTATACAATTCTTAAGATGTTGGTTAAGAGAATTTTGATATTGAATCAACTGATAATCCCCTACTGTATATCGCTCTTTATCACATCCATTTTGAAATCACTGGTGGTCCCTGTAATCTGATTGGCTCTAACTGGTGCGATTTATTCATCAATCATACCATTTTTGCTCTAAATCGCATCATTTTATGCTTGACTGAGCTTTTAACACATGAAATCAAAGTCTTTCTGTTTTGCATCAAAATAAGATATAAAAGCGTTTCCGGTTCCACTTTTTATTCAAAAACCAGCTTAGTACTGCATCAGTAAAATATTTGAATTGACCAAGTCCTGTATTAGGGCGATTTCAAAATGGATATAATAAAGTGGTAATTGAACCTCAAGTTGTGCAATTTTGGTCTGAAATCATACTGTCTTGTGATTTCAAATCGAACTCGNTGTATAATATTAATGGTAATTAATTAATTAGTTGTATAATATTAATGGTAATTAATTAATTAGTTGTATAATATTAATGGTAATTAATTAATTAGTTGTATAATATTAATGGTAATTAATTAATTAGTTGTATAATATTAATGGTAATTAATTAATTAGTTGTATAATATTAATGGTAATTAATTAATTAGTTGTATAATATTAATGGTAATTAATTAATTAGTTGTATAATATTAATGGTAATTAATTAATTAGTTGTATAATATTAATGGTAATTAATTAATTAGTTGTATAATATTAATGGTAATTAATTAATTAGTTGTATAATATTAATGGTAATTAATTAATTAGTTGTATAATATTAATGGTAATTAATTAATTAGTTGTATAATATTAATGGTAATTAATTAATTAGTTGTATAATATTAATGGTAATTGAGGGAGGTAAGTTTCTGAAGAAAAAAAATTGTGCTGCTATGTCAATGGGCGAGGGGGGAGGGGGTGTTAATGATTAAAGTATCACCTTGCTTATTCACTGGGTAAGATGTTCTCATCATGGAAACAAATATTTAGTGCTTATTCCCTTCCAAGATCTCATTTGTTTGGTACTTCTCCTTACTGTCTTCTATACAATTCTTAAGATGTTGGTTAAGAGAATTTTGATATTGAATCAACTGATAATCCCCTACTGTATATCGCTCTTTATCACATCCATTTTGAAATCACTGGTGGTCCCTGTAATCTGATTGGCTCTAACTGGTGCGATTTATTCAGGAATCATACCATTTTTGCTCTAAATCGCATCATTTTATGCTTGACTGAGCTTTTAACACATGAAATCAAAGTCTTTCTGTTTTGCATCAAAATAAGATATAAAAGCGTTTCCGGTTCCACTTTTTATTCAAAAACCGGCTCAGTACTGCATCAGTAAAATATTTGAATTGACCAAGTCCTGTATTTGGGCGATTTCAAAATGGTTGTAATAAAGTGGTAATTGAACCTCAAGTTGTGCAATTTTGGTCTGAAATCATACTGTCTTGTGATTTCAAATCGAACTCGCGCTGTGCACTCGTTTGATTTTGAAATCATGTGTATGATTTCAGCCCAAATTGCACTCCACTCAGTTCAATTACCATTATTTATTCTCATCACTTGTCTGCTCGATTTTGTATTGTGAGGAGAGCGTTGGAGTTATAGGGTTACCTCGAAAAGCTTGAATATTATATTCCTCTAATTCATCTATCTGGACCTGTAGAATAACAAAAGGTTCAAGGTTAAGTTAAATTCATTACTTCTGTACAATGAACATGTATGTCTTGTGTATACCCTGTCACTATAACTAGCAACTTTAAATTCAGCACTGCTCTTACCAATGGTGACTTGTAATAGTGGCGAAGAATGTTGATAAAATCTGAAATAGTGAGCATTCCTGCAAACCAGAGCAGAACACATTACGTTACTTTGTAACAAAGATTTAAGTTCTCCATGTTGTCCACGTATTCCTAAATACTGACAGTAGAACCCCATCAACTTGAACTCAGTTAAATTGCACCCCTGGTAACTAGAACAAGATCCAATATCCCTTGACCCCATTTTTCGGTCAGTAACTACCAGCTAACTAGAACCCCCAATTACTCAAACCATTTGTTGTTTCCCTTTAGAGCTTGAGTTAGCAGTGTTCTACTGTAGCCTGCTCCATGTTTTTAGCGAGTGAAACAGTGTGAAATAGTAACTAGCTTCACAGAAATAACAAAGAGAAAAAAATGAGGGAGGATCCAGTTGGGTCCACTTACCAACAAAGGTATGCTTTTCACTGTCCCAGAGAGGGGCAGATCTAACACCTAACAGAAAATACAAGCACAAGATTTGAGATCCAACAAAGAGATGGTAATCTTGTCTCATAACTTGAACTTTCTGATACTTCGAATAATAACTTTTACATGTTTGTCAAGGCATAACCCACCTGAGTAAACCTGGTGACTATACATTAATAATAAGCATTCAAATAAAACTTATCCATATAGTACTTACCATTAGCAACCAGTCCAAAAAATGCTTTCTTGACCTAGTGCAAATAAATTTAAATAATTAATGGAAAATAAAGCAAAAGAGGATGAACCTACATTTTAACTACATTTCACTGGTAAGACAGAAGCACTAACAGTGTTACAGTAGTAGTGTAGTATTAACAAGTGACTTAGCTTACCCTTAGCTTGGTATCAAACACGACAATCTTGGAGCTTTTCGGCATGATATCATAACAAGTTCTGGTCTTGAGAAAGTTGGTATACATGTAGCTTTCATCCTCATCTGACATAAAGGAGAAATGAAAATGTTTAGAAGGAAAATTGTACTAACAACAATCAAAAGAGAGAAAGAGAGAGAGAGTGCAAGTAGTCATTGTTGATGGCCCAGACATATAAAGAAAACAACACATGACAGTTACTTTTAAAGAGCTGAAGGATTTCACAATTTGGTTACAAGAGAGGACATTGCAAATATACTGTCTGTAAAACTTGATATCCTAAATCCTGCTCTTTTAAGCAAATCCCCCTACCTCAAAACTGAAAGAAAACAATGATCAATTTTGTCAACTTTTCATGAAGTTTGATGAGGCCAAAGTCCTCTATTAAGGCATGATAATGGAAACCATGTTTTGCATATTATCTATTTGACAAATAGATTCCATGTTGTTGTTTGTCTATTCAATAATAAGTCACAGATGAGGTCAGCTGGAACCGCTTCAAACAGCTCTGTATGATTAATGTTTTGCATGTGTGCAGTCTGGACCAAGGGTTTAAGGGGTAAAGTACTGGTAAACATTCTATCGGAAAACTTTTTTAACTTACATTTTATTACGATATAACGTAAATTTTTGCAGAAATACACTGTAAGACAAATTCACCTGATATTACATCTGCCATCATGTCATCTTGTGCCTAAAAAAAAAAATGTTAAAACATATTGTGAATGGTACATAGTGCAAGGCTTAATATAACAGCCGTTCAATGGACAATGTCGGGTCAAATATAGGTTTAGTCTGCCCAACTCCTTGGATGGCCAGATGTTTCATCCAATTGTTTACATATGTAAAGAAGAATCAAATTCCAAGCTAAGGTCAGGTTTTAAGCTGTATCACTTTTCCTGCATTGAGCTTTGCACTATATAAACAAATAAGCATAGCAAATAAACTTGTTTTATAGGGAGGAGAGGATTAATTTTATTGAGATATGAGGTACAGTCACCGTGATCAATGTCTCTTTGGCCAAATATACCTCACTTGTATCCAAGCGCAAATAGGTTTCACTGGACAACAATTTTTCAACTTGAAGTGAAGCACATGTATTTTAAAAGCCAAGCGCTCGTAAAGAAATTCTTAAAAAAGAGATTGAGCAAGAGCAGAGTGAAAGCTCACAAAGTTTTGTCATTTTACTAAACCAGAGTGAGCTCAAACTTACATAGACTTCTTCTCTTCCTCTACCACCATCTTCAATCCCTTCGTCTGATGTCACTTCACCGCTGGTCTGCCTCAGTTCCATGAATTTCTCGTTTGATGAATATGACAAATTCTGGATTTGGAATGGCTCACTTTCCATCTGTTCCTCGTCCAGACCTGCAGTTCTTGGCAATGAACTACTGCGAGCAAAACTCCCTGACGGTGAATCTGAGTTTGTTTCGGGGGCTGATGAACTGTGTGACCTCTGGATCTGTTGAAGATATTGCTCAACCTCACTGGTGTCACTCTTTCTGTTCCACTCCAAGACCCATTCCCTTGACGACTGTTGTTCTTGCGGCAAACCATTGTCGTTGGAGTTGTATGGTTGTGGATAATTCAAGCCAGGCATTACAAATGCATTGTGGTCATCATTAACATGTAGATTCTAATAAAGGAAATATGTGAAAGTATGTTAGTCCTAAAGGAATTGTAACTGGGTGTTACACCTCAAGATCTGATTGTTAATTCTCCCCTCTGGCTGCTACACATTCCTTAGAAATTAGTTGCAGGAAGTTGGTGTTAAATCAAGATAAAACTTCCTCCTAATAAATGTATCTTATTAGACATTTTGTTGTGTAGTATTGTTGAGTATTGTGTGGTACTGCCGTATTTTGATGAGTCCATAGGATGAGTCAAAATACAAACAACAAGTAAAAATACTCAGCGATTCTACACACCAAAACATCTAATTAGAGATTTATTATCCTACACATCAAATTGTTACTTCAGCCTAGGCAAATTTCATGGATATTTCTGGAGTACAAATATCACATGATATTTGTACTCATCTTGCACATTATTTGTTCTCTATGGAGCACAGTTGGATAATAAGGTAGTGTATTCTCATTACTAAAGGCTGAAAGTTTCTAAAGAAACTGTGGTGCTGCGCCAGTGGGGGTAACAAGATAATTGGTTATATCAACTAAAGGCTGGTTTTCATTAGTGACGAAGTCGGAGTCGGAGTCGTAAGAGCGCTTATGACCCAGTGAAAATCGTAAAACGGAGTCGTAAAGCGGAGTCATAAGCTCGACAGAATCGGAGTCGGAAGAATCAGAACGTTCCCATTTTCTTCCGATTCCGCTTATGACTCCATCGCTTACGATCTAGTGAAAACTGCATTGTTGGAGTCGGAAGCGGAAGAATAAATCAATCACAATGCTCGATTCCAGGCCCGCGAAAGTACAAATTTTGGCGCCAAAGACAACATGGCGGACGAAGAGCAACTTTGGC